GATATGGAAAAAGAAAAAAAAAAGACCTTATGTAAACACTAGATGGCTAGGGATCAGGAGATACTATTAGTTTATTAGGGCTTTAAAAGTCCCCAAAAGCTCAACTAAAGGAAAGTAAAAATTTGCTTTCATTTTAACCTTTGTTATTGCTACTAGGGTCAGTAATATGATAGAAGCCGGCATCTCAGGAGACACATGATATCATAAAGATCACAGAGGGGCAGAGAGGGAAATTGCAGAAATTTGACTGTGGTGACCTGACTGGTCAGTGAGGAGTGGGAAGAAAGTGGGGGTGGGGGTGAGGGGCCTGGGCGGGGGGAGCTGTCTTTTCTATAAACTAAGGAAAGCCGAAAAGTGATATGGATCAGACAGTGCTCCCCCGCCCCCTGCCCCGTGCCTGAAAGGGTCTTACCTTGCTCCCCAGCTTCTTCTCCACACTTTTCCCACTGCTTTGAGTTCCTAGGGGCGCAGCAAACTCTTTCCCACAATGGGGATCTCTCAGTGCTGCTCCTTCAATTTGGAAAGCATCTCCCGGGCACTTGGCTGAGCCAGCTCCTCCTTATCTCTTCAGGTTTTAGCTTAAATATTACCTCCTCAGAGAGGCCTTCTCTGGTCAACCATTTAGTGGGAGTAACCCTAGTAATTCTTTTTAAAAGGAGTTTTTAAAGAAGTATATTGTAGTAGATTTCAGATTCATTAGGTTTCATTAAGGTAAGTGTTGTTGACTATAAAAGACCATTGTATTTAATTACAGCAAATCCTGTAACATCAGTAACAAAGAGCCGTGTTTTGCAAATACAAACTCACCCGTAACACAGATATTACACCTTTACTGTCTAGTAATTTTCCATCAGAGCTACCTGTTTACTGCCTTCACCACATTTATGCAACCAGTTCTTATTTTATGTGTTTGGCTATTTGCTTTCGGTCCCCTTCACTGGAGTGTAAGCTCCAAGAGTTTACAGAATCAGGAAGTGCTCAAAAACATTTCCTGAGTAAATGATTGAACCAAATGTCCTTTCTGGGGGGAACAGAGCACCAGATGGGGGCAAATTTGGTTTGTTGACTCCTATTCATGTGTGTATGTGTCGGAAGTTCATAATAAAGCTTCTCCCTCCTCCTCTCTTGGGAACTTGTACTACCTAGAAGTGAACTCGGCCTCCTTTAGCTTTCCCGGGCCAAAGTCTAGTTTGTCTCAAATCCAAAAACCCACAGGTGAAAAGATCCCTAATGGTTTTGGGAGGCCAGGCTACTTTTCCTTTCTCCTAGACCAGAGGTTTTTAAACTTGAAAGTATACCAGAAGCCCCTAGAAAGCTCGTTAAAACACAGGCCCTCCTCCCAGAGTTTTTGATTCAGTAGATCTGGAGCAGAGCCCAAGAATGTACACCTCTGACAAGTTCCCAGGTGATGCTAATCCACTGGTCCAGGGGCCACAGGTTGAGAAGCACGGCCGCAGACCTTAGAATCACCACAGATATCGACAACCAAATGTTTGCACAGGAAGGAAGCAGCGAAGAGTCAAAAGTTGCAGGGCATTGGCGATGTCTTGGGAGGAAGAGGGTTTACAGGGATGACAGTCTCAGAAATCTACCAGCCAAGTCTTTGAGTTAAAGTAGCCCACCTGGCCAGGTAGCCCAACCCCCATCCCCCATCATATTTTCATTTTATAAAAAGCCAGCCGGCCAATCCACCTACTAACTCCATAAGAAGGGTTAAGAAACACTGTCCCAGGGGCGCCTGGGTGGCTCAGTTGGTTAAGCGACTGCCTTCGGCTCAGGTCATGATCTCAGGGTCCTGGGATCGAGCCCCGCATCCGGCTCCCTGCTCGGCAGGAGGCCTGCTTCTCCCTTTCCCACTCCCGGGACCCTGCTTGTGTTCCCTCTCTCGCTGTCTCCCTCTGTGTCAAATAAATAAATAAAATCTTAAAGCAAAGCAAAACAAAACAAAACAAAAAAACTGTCCCAGGAGAACGACCAACCATCCTGGTTTGGCTGGGATTGAGGGGTTTCCAGGGATTTTCAGAGCTAACACTCAAGAAAGTCTTGGGCAAACTGGGATGACTTGGTCACCCTAAACCCAGGTCTTTTTGTCTCCAACAAAAAACATGCAGAAAATATCTCTGGTATAATGTTTATTTAAATAGCAATCTTAAAAAGGCTTTATACAAATCATATAAACACAGTTTGACCTTGTTGTTTATTTTTTACATTGAAGAATCACAGTAAAAGCTCTCAAGTTCCCGTGATCTGGCTCAGCCAGCGAATGGTCGAACACCTTTAACTGCAAACCCTGGAAAAGTTAACCTTCTGTGTGACCGTTTAACTTTTCCCCTTGTTTTCTTGCATTCATGCTCATTCCTCGGACCCTCATCCCTCTCGACTCCCCATCCCCACCGAAGAGAGAAAGCAAGCCTGTGGCCCTGTTGACTGCCTAGTCCGGGAGAGCGTGGAGGTAATGTGTCATTCAATACAAGGCAAAAAAGATCAATACTGTGAGTTGGGTTTCCCAAAGGGAACGACTCAAGGAGACAGGTCAGCTAGCCTACCTGCAGATAGGGACAACAAATGCACCAGGGTGCCCCCTGGCCGAGTTAGAACCAGGCCCCACTGTCTTTCTGTCTTGCAATAGACCAGTCTCCGGTGTTGGTGAGGTATCTACACGTAGCCCTGGGTGGCCTGCTTTTGTGTAGCAGGGCCCACCCAGGGCTTCAAACCAGCCAATGGTGAGTATGGATGGAGGACCGTCATGGGGATGCAGGTTGGCTTGTGCGTAACTTAGAGGTGAACTGAAGACAGGGCTGGTCCTGGGGGGGGGGGCACTGTATAAGGACCCACAGAGCGTGAGAGGGCCAGGACCCCCAGGGTAAGCTTTTGAACTTCTCTTCTTCTGCAGGCAACTTCTGGAAATCCCTAGGACTTGCTAGCTTCCTGAACACTGAGCTACGTGGGAAGGCGAAGAGGAGGGTGGGCTAATTAAAAACTTGTTTTCGATAAAGCGTTAAGAACTTGCTTCTGCTGCATGCCCAGCTTGGGGCGGTGGGGGGGGAGGGTCCTAAAGCTAAGCCCTTGGGCTTGACAGCTTTACTTTTCACCTCTAACTACCACTGTGCCAACGAGTGCCGAGATCAGCAGTTACACTCGGGGCCCTAGGTCAAAGTCACAACAACATCACGGAGTCCCACATGACCATTCACATACACAGTAGATACAGAGAACTCAAAGGCTTGCAACGACACACACACATATGAATAAATAGCTGTTGGTTTGGACTCGCCCTCTCCGCATACAAAACACTGTGACATTACCATTTGAACTAGCATTTCCATAAGTTAACATTGAAAGGAACCAGCCAGTCCCATTCACCCTTTTCCTTTCACCTGGGTAGGAGACAAATGAAACTGTGGGTGACCATAGCAGCAAAAATGGTCTGACAGTTTACCACTGATAAGCAATGGGCTGGGCATACTGGTTGGGTTTCAAATGTATTTCCAGCACACAGGCAATCTTTAGGCATTACTACAATATCAAGATTTGGATCTTGACGCGGACAATCTTATCCTTCACACAGTTTGATGCCTCCCGTCCTGGAGTAGTTGAGAGTCATCTAGGGCTATGCCTACCTCTCAGGCAGCAGGGCTCAATCCGTTAATAGGATCAGCGGTGAGCTAGGGGAACCGGCAGTGGAGTCACGGGGGTTTGGGAAGAAGGAATGCCTTACTTTTATGATATTCACTGATTTCTACATAGAGGGAAAATAGTTTTTCTTCATTGTTTCAAGGCACTTAATAAAAAACACATAAATTGTGTGTGTGTGTGTGTGTAAGAACATAGATCTCTCTGGGGTTGAAGCAGTGTTGTTAGTGTTTTGGTCCATAGTACTTGCACACTTCTGGTTAAAATCAGCTCACAAACATCCTACCTGACTCTCCTGAAATGCTGAGGTGGGGGCTCTTACCCCAAGGAAAACTCAATGTTTACTAGCCTATCAAAGAGACTGATTCATCAAAATGTCTCTGTAGAGTCTGCTTAGCCTTTGCCATGACACAGTCACAGAAGTTGGACTTCTTTTTCCCTCTCCACTGTTCTCCTTTTCATCCAGTGGTCACCAGGTACATCTCACCGGTGGAGAAAACATACTAACAGCCTGTCTTTGTGCCCTCCCTCCAGCTCTGAAGATAATCAACGATGCTACGTCCTGGGGAGTAGACACCTGACGAATGTGCGTGTGTGCATGTGTATGGGTGTGTGTATGTATGTGTTTTAGAAGAACCAGGAGGAGGCAAAAGAAAAAGCAAAACCACCACCAGAGGCCCCACGCAGTAGCCTCACAGCTACAAATTCTGGGTCTAGATTTAATGAATGGCTCCTAGTCACGAAGCACGTTAAGGCTTGTCCGCTTCTAACATGGAGGTGCTTCTGTGGATTTTGACGTGTGAAGTTTCCTTTCTGGTTTTAAATCACATATAAGAAAGAGCTATTCATGCTGACCCTAAAATGGCAATTTTCCCCTGGATAAAAAAAGTTAAAGGCAACAACATCCTACTTAAATGCTAGGACTGGAAACGGCAGCTTGTAGGATTGGCTGGAAGGACCTACACCACAGCAAATCCCGGGAGTCATAAGATGATCAGAGGACAGGATAAGTTGGGCGGCTTTTTTTTGTTTTTTTTTGTTTTTTGTTTTTCTTTTTTCTAAAAGATGAAAAGTCTGAAAAGACCTTTTGCTTTTCAAATGTTGATTAGAACGAGAGAGCAGAGTACCATTGACCACTACTCTGCTTCCATCCTGGAAAAGTCATTCTTCTCTTCTGCCTCTTGGAGTTGCTCACAGACCAATGAAATAAAATATAATAATAATAACAAACTCACAAACGAAATAGAACTGTGACCCCCAAGAGACAAGCTCCCGTCTTAGTCCCAGCAATGACTCAGCCGCGCCGCTCCCAGGTGGGTCCTAGCCTCCCGTGCGGCCACGATCTCCCCGCCTCCCTCGACTCGTCCGTCCATTCTGTCCACACCGTCAGTATTCTGGATCGGTTTGATTGAGATTATGGCATTCAGTTTCCAAAGGGAAAAAAAAAAAATGTAATCTCCACTAGCCCCTCTTGCTGGAATGAAACGTCAGATGTGATTTGGATGCAATCTGTCATGCTTCGGAGCAGCACTTCTGGTGGTTCATCTTGACCTTGTGCTTGAGGCCGTCGTAGAGCTCAAAGTTGTAGTTCTCCAGGGTGGTGCAGCTGCGGGAGCTCAGCCCTGAGTAGGAGCAGGTACAGTAGAGCAGAAGCCCTGCACATGTGGCCCCCAGGAGGACGCCCAGGGAGCTCATGGCGATAATGGTGATGAGGATGGGATCCAGTGTGTAGAGCCAGCTCTTTTCTTTGTCAGCTGAAGGGGCCCCAGACCCTGAGGTCGGGGAAGAAGAGTTGCTCCAGTCCACCTCGTACTCATCTGTGACATAAAGCACACGAGAGATTGCGGGCGCTGCCCCTTTCAAGGTGAAGTAACTGAGCCTCCCCAGCCCGGTTGACAGGGTCTCCAGAGCACGGGGACGACTGGGGGGACTCTGGAACTAACGCTGGCTGGCGTCAAAGCCCACCCTCATCACATCCTGGCTGTGTAACTTGGGGCATGTTATTTAACCCTTCTTCTCCTCTATAAACTGGGGGTACTCTTATGTGTGCCTCACTGGGTTGCTAGGAGAATTAAATGAATTAATATTTGTAAAGTTCTTGGTGTCCAGCACATACCTAGTATGATCTAAGTATTTGATATTTAAATAATTTAACTCCTACTAGGGAAGTTCGGATTTTGACAGAAGCTTCGGGGTGCCTTTGGAGCACCGGGGTGGTCCTGTGTTCTGGGCACGCTTCTTTCTTTGCCCCCTCATCCCCCACTTCCATTTGCTTCAAGTTAAACCAAAGGACAGGCTGAGACTGTTTTTTACATGACACGTTTCCCAGTGTAGCATCCCTGGCCGTCCGAGCTGCAGACTTTTCTCTGAGCCACCACACCTCACTTGACATACATCTTACCCAACTGTTATGGGTTGAATTACATCCCCCAAGGCTCATATGTTGCAGTTCTAACCCCTAGGACCTCAGAATGTGACCTTATTTGAAGATAGGTCTTTATAGAAATAATCAACTTAACGTGAGCTCATTAGGGTGGACCCTAATCCAACATGGATGGTGTCCATATTAAAAGGGGAAATTTGGAGACAGACACAGATGGGAGATTGTCTTGAAAACACGGAGATAACCATCTATAACCCTCATGGTCCTCAGAAGGAACCAACCCTGCTGACACCTTGATCTGGGACTTCGAGCCTCCAGAAAGGTGAGAAAATACATTTCTGTTGTTTACGACGCCCAGTTTGTGGTACTTTGTTATGGCAGCCCTAGCAGACTAATATAATCAGGTTTCCATAGTGTGGCCAACGCATGACCACATCCACAGCTCATTTTGTGGGATTTCCTAATAATCCCGTGAAGAAGGCAGGGTGCTATTATAATTTTTTTTTTTTTTAATAGATGAAGAAACTCAGGTTTTTCTTAAAAGAAATTAGGTGGCTAGGTAACTCCCTCAAGGTCCCGGAATTAGCAAGCAGTGAAACCAGGAATAGGACTCAGGCTTTCTGCATCCTCACACCCTGCTCTCTGTATGCATCATAGAGCTTCAGCTGCTTGACCTACAGCAGCCTCTCCTTGTAGGCCAGTTCCCCAGCTTTGCCCATAAAAGGAGTGCTAGATGGGGGTTTGCAGGAGAGTCTGCATTGAGTTAACAAGGTGCTGTTTGGGTTAGTCACTCTGTTTCTATAACTGTACTTGAAGTGTTTGATTAAGGTCAGGTTAAAAAGCAGCTGTTCTATAAACTGCTCTTCTTAAAGGCATCAATCTTGGTCTAAAGTTGTTCTTTGAGGGAAACCTTGGTGATTCTCTTGGACATCAGTTCTGGCACTCAGAGGAGCCCAGAGAGACCCGTGCTGCCCTGAGTCAAGGGGAGAAATTGTATCTACATGTTTGCTCGGTGGCCCTCCAGTCAGGGCTCTTGCTTCAGCCCCCTGAAGTATGTGTATTTGAAGTGGGAGAATAGAGCTTTTAATAAGCATGAAAATACAAGATGGGCATTGTAGAAAGGAAACCTAAATCTTGCAGTGGGCCCCAACTTGGAGTCTTGGATAGTGTGAGAAAGGCTCCCCTCAAGCCAGGGAACAGGAAACCACAGAAAGCCTAGGAGAATATTCACATTTATACTCATTTTCTCAAGTCCTTTTTCGGGAAGAGGTGAATGGGTTCAAGCAGCAATACATATAGAGGAACCTGGCTTTTACTTCTAAAGGGTTTATCCAGATTTTAAGTCCATCAATGTCAAAAGTTGCCTTACGTAGGGGACCTGTTTCAGGTTAGGCAGAAGGAACTCAATAAACTTTCTAAATTTCTAAATTTGACCTTGACAAAGCAATTGATGGTTTCGTCATTCCTCTCTGGATTCTTTTCACTTACATTTCTGACTGGTAGTTCTAAATTCTGGCCTTCCAATACTCCAGGCATTACTTTTGTTGACGTCTTTATGACCAAACTTGAATTTCGTGATTATCTGCTAAATCATACCAATACTCACCATCAATTTCATCTTCATAGCCTTCTCTCCCATGTATTTCTGGAATGTCCACTATAACGAAAAAGAAAACAAATCAAGTTATAACGAGTTCTATCGCCATGGCTAACAGGCAGAGATGCAACCTTCCTCAGAGTGACTCCCTGGTACAGTAGGCAGCTAAAGAATCACATCTACTTCTAGATCATTTAGTATGTACATTACTGGATTCTTTCCCCTTCAAATGGTTTGTCTTTGTTTCTAACAGCAACCAGAAGAAAAGAAACAAAAAAGGTCTTTAGCGCCAAGAAAATCCTCACTTGCGTTGTTGTAATGACTGTAGTTCATTGCCAGTATAGGTTTGCATTTATCCAAGGCAACCTGGTTGGCATGCCCATCATCAGTTGCCATTACTGTGACGTTTATATAGTATAACTGACCCTCCTCATATGCACGCATCTAAGTAGACATATACTACGAGGGTCTTTCTCCTCTGGATTTCAAATAAATGTATGGTAATTTAACAAAGTCACATTTCATCATCTTATGTTTTAATGTAGAAGTAGAACTGAAAAGAATGTCATAATGCCTGACCACCTCCACATATCTGTGCTAATCTCTCTCATCTTTCCTCCTCAATCTACTTTTCCTACTGGCTTTCTTTATGGCTTAGAATAGGTCAAACACGGGCATCCAATCTGACTAGCCCAGGCTTGAATAGAGCTAAGTTAATTTACTGTGAATTTTCTCCAGTGTTATCACTATCTTTTCTTTTTTTACGATAATTTTTGAGGGGAGGTGGGAAAGACAGTCTCTCTATTCACTACGCTGTCCATCTTACAGAAATCAGAGCCAATGAAAATGACCTGTCTAAAATGGTAAAACATCAAAGAAGAGAATGAAAACGTGGTGATTTATCATTTCTTTGTTTCTCATAAGTTAATTATGCCTGCCCTGGCCATCAGCTCAGGATGGCACCAGCGAGCATATGGGCCCTTTAGGAGTTTTACTGAACCCCAAGTCAGGTGAACAACCTTGAGGTCAGCACTATAAATTGATACCTAAAAATCCAGGCTTAAGCCAAGCCCAAATTCCAGACAGCTAAAACTATCAAACAAGAGGAAAAAAAAAAAAAAAGAAAGAACTTCAGACCAGCCTGAACTTTTCCCTCATCAGCACATCTCAGAGAAGATCTACTTGACCGTGACCTGAACTGAGGATTGATCTATCACTGCCATGCTTGAAATTCAGTCTTTTCCTGGAGGCCGTGTTTTTAATCATGTTAGATAGAAGTCTTCCTCATTCCTGACCAAAGTGCTAAAGCACATTCTGATCCCCCTGGTCGCCAGCAAGGGATGCAACAAAACAACTTGCCAAGACCCCACTTGAAAGGATCAATGCCATGTGGCACTGATTTGCCATAAATCCAGCCTGTTTCTGGCATGTTTATAGCACAGCAACTGGCACCTGCAGGTCACGCCAGCTTCCCCACCTCAATGCCCATCCCCTGCATTATTCTCCAGACCCCAACGATGCAGGCTGTTTCCTTGGAATGAAGATGTGAATATGAATCAACAAGAGGCAGGTGGTGTCTGTCATAGGGATCAAACCGAGCTTGTGAAAGTCAACCTGGAGATGTTTTTTTAACCTCATGAAACAAACAAACATGGACGAAAACCATCACATTTCCAACAATTAATTGTTTTGACGGGTTGCCTTAACACCTTCACGGTTAAAAGATGCAGAACACTGGATAAGAATATGGGAATCTGCCTAGCACAAAAACTGTGGGGCTCTTGCCAGTGACTTTTGGGCCAGATCCTGTTCTTGCTTTTAGGGATTTGGTTTCTGCCAAGGATGTGACAGATTCTTGGAGGCTAGAATGCCATTTTGCTCCAACTCATACCCTCAGGGAAGAACTCTTAGGACACTATTGATCATGGCTGGAGAGGGGTGTATGTGGCATTGATCTTGAAGGATAAAGGGTAAAAGGATGGTAATGAGTCCGAGAACATTTCGGCCCAGGAGATCACAGCCTCTTGTCTCTGGAGATAGAGGCCTGGACGAGATGACCTCGCAACAACTGGTCCATTTCTAGGGTTCTCTGAAATTGATTGCCCAGATGTGGCTGAGATTTCTGCACCTGGAGAATCAAAGGCTACTCAAGGTGAAGAAGAACACTATAGAGGCTTGACTTGGCTTTTTGTATAACCACTGCTCCCAGGAGTTTAGGTGAGTGGGAAGGGGTCGACAAAAGGATAAGTTAATCAACATTTTCAAAAGCGCATCTGTTCACCAAGCCTTAAAGAAAGAATGGCACACTGGGGAAAACCCAAATAAAGGGAACATTTGTACAAAAAGCAATTTACTTTGATAGCAATTTTCTCTAGTCCCCTTGCTAATATTCTTGATATCTGTGTTTGATTAAGAGCTTTTATTCTTAAAAGGCCCTTTGCCCTTCACGGGCCACTTTCCTTTTCTGTTAAACCCAATAGGTAAACCTGAGCCTGTTTCCTCAGGATGTTGGCAGGAAAGGAGTGCGGCTCTCCCGCCAGGTCCCTGTAGTTCCAGCTAGAAAAGGCAAGGGTAGAGAGGAGGGAGAAATGGTGAGCTCAAGACACAGAGGGGAGGCAGCACCGCCCTGACAGCAAAAGACAGCAAAAGCATGTAGGGACCAGGGACTCGGAATTGAATTGAATTGTTCTTTTTGTAAAGGACAAACTTGGAGAGGACCTTGTAGGATTCTGGTTCAGTGGGTGGGTGTGTCTGTGAGTGGGAGATGGATGAGGGAGAGTGGAATGGGCCACACCTATAGGATAACACAGATCAGGAATGGATCTTACCACCCACACAACTTCCACTTTCAACCTTTGTGCTCCCATGACCCGATTTCCTCTGGGACCCTGTGTAGACTCAATCTCAGGCCAGTTTGACTCCAAAGCCTGAATTCTGACTCTCAGTACTGTGTTAGGGCCAGAGGAGGCCTCCCACCCCCACCCAGCGAGTTCTTTGGGTATAGACAGGACACTGCAATTACCACCATATCAACACGACCCTCTTCTAACAGGCTAGTAACGGATCCTAGTTGACTGGATATACACTCTCTGGCTGTTTGCCTGCATCGCCGGCTCACCACTTTGATGGGAACTCAGGAGGACTTCTCATGAATGCGAAAATCTGATTCGAAATTTGAGGCTCATGTTTTCCGTGATAGGCGTTACTCAGAGGGGGGAAGGCTGATTTACCTTGTTCTTCCAAGGGCCGTCTTCATTAACCAACCAATTAACCAACCATCACTTATAAAGGGGATTTACAAGGTGCCCAGGAACCACACTGAGGACTTTGAAAAATGAAGATGTATGGGACCAGGCGTCTACAATCAAGGCCCTTCAGCATGGTTGAGAAGCAAAGACCCGTCCATGCCATAACAGCAGAAAAGAAAGCGGGGCATTGCAGAGGGGACTCCAAGTGCTGCTGGCGTCCAGGGTGGGGACTGGACACATGAGGCTGGGCTGCTGCCAGGAAGGGAAACATGCGAGTGGGGAGGAGGATGCTTTGGAACCGAGGCTGCTGCGAGGTAGGGGTTGGGGAGTTCTAGCTCCTTTATCTATGGAAAGGAATGGTTCCAAATATAGCACCTGAGTCTTTTCACTCATATACTGATCCCTTGGTGTTGGCTTGAATTCACTTCTACCTGATCCATTAAGGAATTCAAAGAGATGGCCATGCCTGGCTACAGATCTTCTACCTGGATTTCCCTTTGCGAGAGTCAGGTCTCTGCTCCTCCCCCTGACCAGCTGCTGGGAGCCAGCAGAGTGAAAGGAAGAAGTGAACTCATGCAGGACTGGAAAGGACTTTCATAGAGTTCAAGTCATCAAGTGAGCAGAGTGGCCACCACTTAAAAAACAAACAACACAATTCAACAAAATCTGGTCGTTTTCATATTGCGATAGAAGCCTTGGCTGCAAAGTCCCGTTTCCCCAGGAGCCCCTCCCCTTAGCACCATCAAGAGGTGGGTTAGGTACACAGTGACGAGTGATTCAAGTTCTTACCCATCCCCTCTGGTCCTGATTTTTCAGGGCAAGAGGCCTGTAGGGGCTAGTTATGAAAACATTCACTCACTGTTCCAGGAACTCCCTCCACACTAGAAGAGTCACAGACTGTCAAGTGTCCTTGTCAGTAAATTGCAACACTATGGCACAAAAGGTTGAAAGGCCATACCCGGTCACAAACCAAACCTACTCTAAGGCGATGTGTTTTTCCCTGCAGGGTCTGGAACGCTGCCTGGTCAGACCACACATGCTATGCAGGGGAAACACCCCCAACACTCCAACCTGCAGCCGGGAAATTCCCCACTGAGCATGCTTTAGGCCACAAACAGGAATGCTCTGTCTTTCCTTCCCATTCTCTCCTTCCCCGCCTTGTATATGCATGCACACATGCACACATGCTTTATCTTCCACTCTCCCTCATTTTCTTCCATTTTTTTTTTCCCTCTTACATGAAGATTCTTTGGAGTTAGACTGCTTTTCTGCAGGCACTCATAGAAAACTTTCCACCTTCACTTTCCCAACTTCTGCTAGGCTGTGGTCTCCTGCGAGTGTATTGGCATTGACGTTGTTCTGTTTACTTTCTGCATCGTAAAAGGGGCTTTGAAAGATTGCTCGGGTAGTGAGAAGCCTGCCCCAAACCACTGGCTATTTTTAGATAAATTATTTAGGACAGCCCATTCCTGGGTCACTTGAATGTAGATCATTTCAGGATAACTAACATACTTGTCTATGAAGAGTTCCTTCCATGCCAACTCTGAGCGGTGGAGGCCTGGTTGCTGTGTATCTGAGGGGAAGCAGCATGGGCTATGGAGGAGCACTACACTGGGAACAGGCTGCCTACTTCTTGTCTGAGTTTGGCGATCCACCCCGGGTGTAAGAGCCTGGGTGAGACCCCCTGAGTCTCAGTTTGCTCTTCTGTCAAGTAACCACTGGCGTTCTTCCCTGCTCTAGAATTGTGTGTCTTATGGGAAGAAAATGAGAAAGGTCAGAGGGCCTCTCAGATGAGGACTCTCTCAAGAAGCT